TGGAGCTGACCTGGCCCAGCTTCTTTTGGATGTCGTCCAGTGTCCTTGACTACACTGACATCCATGATATCTGGACATGACTCTGGTCTTGCCTGGCAGTTATCACTTCTGTGAGCAGCAGGCCTGCCATGCTGTGTGAGGTTTGTGCTGATAGTCCCCACTGCTCACCTGGGAGCTCCCTGCTGCAGGGGACGGCCCCTTCTCTGTAGTTCATTAGAAGCATCTGGGGAGCCCTGATGTGGGGGAGCCCTGGTGTGGGAAACCTTGGTGTGGGGAGCCCTGGTGTGGGGGAGCCCTGGCGTGGGGGCTCTGGTGTGGGAGTCTGCTGGGGGAGCCCTGTGGGCAGCCCCCCAGGAGGGCTGCGGCACCCTCCGCATCCGGAATGGAAGCACACTGGGTCTGCTCCTTCCTCTGAGGTGCTTCGAAACGAAGCTGATTGCTGGATGGAGGGGGATGGCCACGGGCGCAGCTCGTGGATGGAATGTCGCCGTAGAACCCCGGTGGTGGGTATTTGGGTGTTCAGTGTAAAATTCTTTCCACTTTGTGTACATCTGACGATGTCTATAATAAAACGCTGGGGAGAGCACAAGCAGGAAGGGAAAGGCAGGTGTAGGGAAAGGATAGGCCCGGAGGCAGCCCACTTGCCCTCAGGAGCCCCTTCTTAGCCTACAAAGTGTTTTGTCTTTCTTAGTTGTTGCTTTTCACCCACTGCTGAACCCCTTAAATCGAAGAAAACAATATTCTCCTGTTGTTAGTAGAGGGTCCCTGCGGCCTTAGAACTGGGGAGAAGGGTGATGCACGTTTTGAGAAGGCTGAGTAGTTAGTCCTCAGACGCCTGGTGGGAGCTGGGGGAGAGGCTGGACTCTGCAAACAGGCGATGTGTGGCTACCTGGCAAACAAAGTTTCTCTCCTGCCCTCATCTGTTTCAGCAGATTCAGGGAGTGGGGAGGCTGCTCTGGGCGACACTCTTATTGTTCTCACTGGTCATCACACTCGGTTCCCAGGCCACCCTGTAGAGCACATCTGGGAACAGGTTGGAGGTTGGTGACAGCAAGGGCTCTGGTTTAGAGGGGAGTTTCCAGGGCCTGGCCAAAGACCCTCTCAGGCTTGACACCCAAGGCAAGGGACTGTCCCCAGGTCCTCTCTAGGCTCCTTCTAGGATGATTCTGAGACCTTGGCCAGATCTTATGCCAGTATCAGGAGCTGGCCTTGTCCCTGGGGTACAGCCAGGAAGGTGACTCGATGTGTCCAGAGAAGCCTGGAAGACTGGCTGGTGGGCAGCTGGGGAGGAAAAGCCAAGGGCTTTCTGCAGAGGCTCCTCTTCCCTATGGGGCTTTGAGGGCAGGGCCTGCATGGCCTTCCACACTATGTCGTGTGGGTCAGCTCACAGTCACCCTACCATTGCCCGGCATTCCACACGGCGTCACAGGGTAGAGCAGAGTCAGAGACATTTAGTGAGATATCTTCAGAGATGGGGCTTCATCACATTCCGTGGGATGTCATAGGAGCAGGCCGTCAGGCTACTTTAGGTGATGTCACCAGGAATTCCAGAATTCTGCATTTCATGTGATACCATTGCTGGCGGGGTCTCCACAGCATCCAGGACGCAATTACCAGGAGCCAGGCTTGCAGAACCTGGCATTGCACATGACATTGGGAGTGGAATCTGAGCCATCATGGCATCCCAAGCTCCTGGGGGTGTGGCCTTCCTGACATAGCATGGGGTGTTCAGAGTGGAGCGTGCCTGGCATTCTGCGTGATCACACTGGGGGAGGGGCCCCAGCCTCTAACATTCTGTGATGTCATTAGGGTGCAGGATTTGGGAACTGGGCCCTACATGTGCACTTCTCCTCCTGGAAGGATGGAACCAACCTCAGAGCATGGTCCAGCCTTGCTCACTTCGGCAGGGTTGACAGCACCCAGCCGGCTGCTGCACCCTTGCCATGGTAGTACTAGGCACTCACACTAGAATGCTTTGTGAGGGGCATTTGTCCCACCTGCTGATCTGGCAGCATCTCTGTGGTGGTGCTGAGTCTTAGTTCCTGCCTATCACCTCCTTCCTGGGGCCTGGAAAGTGCTTCATGAATTTTCAGGGTACAAATGTTACAGCGAGCAAACTGGTGAAACCCACAGCACCCAAAGCTCCACGGCTTAGCCCAGCGAGTTCATGTCCCACTCAAGCAGCATCCGACGCAGTGCTCTTTGGTCGTTCTCCAAGTCGCGACTCCAGGATCCAGGCCCCTCCTGTTAGTGGCTCGGCTGTCCTCCCCTGGGTCCTCGCCTCCAGGCAGCCCACAAGAAGAGAGGTGAAGGATGGCAAGGACGGCTGCTCAGGACAGCCCGGGAGGGGCGTGCGCCGCCTCATCCCACTCCACCAGCCTGAGCTAGCCTTACCGCCACACAGATACAGGGCACTAGGAAAGGTGGTGGCTGTGTGCCAGCAGGAGGGGTGTGGCTCGGTGAGCAGCCAGTGCTCACCACGGTGAGAGACAAAAGGGCAGGCCTCTTCCTTGAGGACTGGCCCATCCTCAGCCCCACCCTCCTTATGCTCATCCCCCCTTCTGCACTCCTCTCAGATCACACCGGGCAGCAAGGCAGCCCAGTCCCAGCTCAGCCAGGGTGACCTCGTGGTAGCCATTGACGGCGTCAACACAGACACCATGACCCACCTGGAGGCCCAGAACAAGATCAAGTCGGCCAGCTACAACCTGAGCCTCACACTGCAGAAGTAGGTGGCAGCTCCAGAGCAGGGGGGAAGCAGGGTGTGGCATCAGGTGCCTGCTATTCAGTGGCAGATGTGTGGGCTCCGCCCTGTGCTACCAGGCCTCGCAGGGCAATGAGGACAGCCCTGGACCAGAGAAAGGATCAGGCCCTAGTCACTGTCAAGCACCGGCCACATCTGTGCTCCCCTAGACAGACCAGACTGGGAGGGTGGGTCTGGGGCTGCCTGTGTGTGGGCCGTCAGGCCCAGAAGCCAGGCTCTTCCCTGCTTTCTCTCTGCCCAGGCAGCCTCCCATTTCCTTGCAGAGGCCAGTGGCTGCAAAGTGCCCAAGGGTCATGACTTCTCCATCCTGGTTAGACCCAGTGATTTCCTGGAGACACCCAGCCTACTTGGTGGGTGTGGGCCTCGGGCTCTCTGACAGGCTCCCCAGCACTGTGTTGCTCTCCCCTGGCCAGTCTTGCCCAGTCGGGAGCTCCTGGCCCCAGACATGACTTTCTTCACTTGGTCTCATTTCTGGTTTCTCCAGGTCGAAGCGACCCATTCCCATCTCCACGGCAGCACCCCCGATCCAGTCTCCACTGCCAGTGATCCCCCACCAGAAGGTAGGTGCTGACTGTGGGAGCAGACTCCACTCTCAGACTCAGTCCTGGGTGCAGCCCCATGGCGAGGGGTCAGCCCTGGCCCACCGCTGCCTGCTGTCACTGACCCTGGGAAGTAGGCAGGCCTTGGGGAGAGGTGTTCTGAGTGAGGAGTGTCCGCCGGGTGCCACCTGCCAGAATCTCATGGCTGGACTGACACGATAGCCGCTTAGGCAGCAGTGTCCTCAGAAGGGGGAGCATCCTCTCAGCTGAGTGGGACAGTGTCCAGAAGGTTCTGACCCTCATCTTCCTGCAGCACAGAGGGGAGGGGACAGTGGCATGAGAGCTGGAGGTCCTAGCTTCAGACGGTCACCCCAGGAGATGCTCCTAGGCATAGAGGGGCCTGCTGGCCCTTGGGGTTTCTCCTAGGCTTTCGTCCTCGGATTTCATTCTTCCTCCCAGCTGCATACCCATAGCCCAATCAGAAATGTTGGTGGGGACCAAGGCAGGCACAGGAGAGAAGGTAGAGCCCTGGCACAGACTTCGCCGCATGCCCCAGGCTCCCTCCCAGCTTCCTCTAAGCAGCTCAACCCTGTGAGTCCAAGGCATGGGAGGCCCACCCCACCACTCCTGCAAGGGCCTGCTCCCCACCCCTCCCTGCACAACCTTGTACTGACCCCCGTCTCCTCGGTGAGGCAGAGTGGGCACGGGTCAGGGAGGTGGGAGAGCAGGGGCTGATGAAGCTGGAGTGGGTGACAGGCTGGGGAGCCAGGCAGAAGGCTACTCAGGGGGAGTTGCAGAGGTGAACCAAAGGAACCAAATGTCAGCCCACTACTTCCTCAGTTGCCCCTCCTGCACCTCCACTCTGCCTATCCACTACCAGCTGGGGTCCCCCTCATTGGCCATGGGGGCATTTTTGCGGGGTCAGTAGAACAGGAGGCTGGGCTGCACCCACCAGGTGCCCTTACTCAGGGGAAGGGGAAGCAGATGTGGAGTAGAGTTGGGTCCCCCTGGTCCCTGATGCCCACAGGGCCTCGTTCCAGCCCTTTCCTCTAGCCCTGTAGGCAGGCTGGCTTGGCTTGGCTCTCCGGGAGGCTTTGCCTTTTGTCCAGGTGGGTGCCAGCCCTGGAACCAGGAGCTTTGTGCCTCCCCTGCTCTTCGGGACGCACCCTTCTCTTCCGGGGCCCTGCCTGGCCCTCTTGAGTGCAGTGCAGCAGGCGCAGGCTGTGGGCCCTCACACTAACACCTCTGTTTCAGGTCCACACAGAAGCACCGGGATGCGTGTGGCCTCTAACTGCTCTCTCCTCTCTCCCCTGCATGGCGGCTACCCTGTGCCAGGACCCTGCTCTGGACACGAACAGCAGCCTGGTGGCGCCCAGCCCCAACCCCGAGGCGAGGGCCGGCCCGGGCACCCCAGAGGTCAGGCAGACCTTTAGCTCCTCCTTCTCCCAGACCTCCGCCTTCTCCTCCCACGTGGAGGCCTCTGACCCCGGCCCTCCACAGGGCAGCCCAGGGGCCAAGACCAACCCGGAGGGAGCCCTGGACTCACTCAGCCCGAAAGTGCCACTGGGCTCGAGCCAGCCAAGGCAGTATAACAACCCCATTGGCCTGTACTCGGCAGAGACCCTGAGGGAGATGGCTCAGATGTATCAGATGAGCCTCCGAGGGAAGGCCTCAGGTGCTGGACTCCCAGGAGGGTAGGTAATGGGCGCACAGCTCTCCGCTGGTGGTCTGGGGCCACCTGGGTCCTCGGTGCTCAGTAGAGGCCTGGCCAACCCCAACCCCAGGAAGCAGGGCGGGCTGAGAGCCGTGAAGCAACTCTCCTGCTGACATTTGCCATGAGCCAGGCGATGGCATCGCTGCCCCACACAGCTACCCTGGGATGGCGTGTCAGATTTTGCAGAGGGGAAAACTGAGGCTTGGAGAAGTTAAGTTGAGGTCCAGCTGTCCAGCTATTAAGTGGCTGAGTTGGGCCTGAATGCGAGAGACTTTGATTCTCAAAACTGTCACACCAGGCCACTCCCAGGACAGGACAAAGCCTGCTGCCTCTAAGAGCTCTGGGGCAAGGGGACAGGCTTGTCCTCACCCTCTGGAAGCCCTGAGGCAAGAGCAGGAAGAACTGGAGGGGCGGAAAGCCCATTCTCTAAGCCTAGATTGGTCTGGGAAGGTTGCCTGGAGGGCGAAGCACCTCAGCTGGGCTCAGGGACTGGCAACGGAGTGAAGGGCGTGGCTTGCAGGACATACCCTGCTGGGGTGGGGCAGCAAGGAGCAGGACCCCAGGGAGAAAGAGGCTGTGCAGAACAGCGGCCCGCCCTGCCTGCTGAGGTCCAGCTGGTGGGGCTCTGCGAACACGAGTGAAAACACCTATAGCCAGTAGGTCACGGAGGGGCTGAGGGGCAGGAGGCCCAAGCAGAGCCGCATTCGTGTTTCTAAGTCCTTTCTGCTTGTTACCTCATTTAGCTCCTCCCACAGTCCATGGAATTGGCCTGACTATCTCTAGTGACTGTGTGCTAGAGGCAGAGCAGTCTGCGCGAGGCAGTGTGCCCAGCGGTTAGGAGGACATAGACGTGAAACTGTCTGTCTCAGGGTCACTGGGAGGACTGGAGGAGGCAGCATGTGCACAGTGGGGAGCTCTGTTCTGCACACTCAGTGTGCGCTGCCTGTCGTCACTGCCTGGGGGCACGCAGCTGGCACACCAGTGAGCCAGAATTGCAGCCCAGGTCAGTCTGACCCAAGCCCATGCCCTTCTTTTGCCTGGGCCCCAGAAGGTAACAGTCCCACCAGTTCACTGATTCCCTGGAAACCCCACCTCCCCTAGGTCCTAGCTCTTTCTCAGATCCTGAGTGAAGCTGGCCTCGGTTACCCCATAGTCTCAGCTCCCTGGCTTCTTCTCTGGGCTCCAGTGACACAGTCATATACCCCTGGCTCTTTCCAGCGAGGAGAAAACTCAGGGAGTAGCAGAGTAGAAATGGCCTCCTTCTCTGCTTTGGTTGGGCTGGTAACTCTTCTTGGTCCCCTAGGACCTCCTATGAGGCCCACCTGCAGTGAGGATATTCTCTCCCCTTGCTGAGCTCTCCATCTGGTCTGGGCACCTTCTAACCTGTGCTTTAACTAACACATCTCTCTCAGCAACTTCAGAGGTGGACATCATTCCCTCCATTATATAGCTGGGAAAATAGAAGCCCAGAGAGAGTGAGTAATTTGCCCAAGGTCACAGATAGGACTGGCACCCGGGTCTGCCTGACTTCTCCCTGCTTGGAGACAGGGACCCACCGACCTGCCACTGGAAGTCAAGGGCCAGCCTCGCCCCTACTTCTCATGTCTCCCAAGGTGCCCTCCTATTGGCACAGAGACTTTGCAGAACCTGACAGGTGTTACAGTATAACTCAACACTCAGAGCAATGGAGTCCAACGCTTTCCTCCAAGGAAGATGGGCTAAGGGAGGGAGCACTCCACCCAAAGGAAGGCTGGCCTGCTGTCTCTGGGCAGTGCCACAGGAAGGGTGAGGCCTCTGAGCTGGGGCAGCCTGAGCAGCGCTGCTGGGCGGAGGCTCGGCCTTCACTAAGTGTCTAACTGCTTGAAATCCATCCACTGGACACGTAATCCAGGCCGAGGGCTCTCCCCTCAGTGTTCCGTTTAGTCTGCACAACCCGTCTGTGCAGTAGGTACCGCCATCTCGATTTCATGAATGAGGAGAGGCTGAGACAGGTAGGTACCTTGCCCAGAGTCACAGCTCAAGGAAGAGGCAGGGTGAGGATTTGAACTCTGTCCAGTCTGACTTTAAAAGGAAGCTCCTTTCCCTGCTCTCTGAGCAGCTTGCAGTGTTTCCTTGGCAGCTTCTACCCTGGGAGGCATGGAGAAGGACAAGTGGGGTGCGGGACAGTAGGCCTGAGCACCCCTTCTCCTTGTTCTCTCTGAGGCTGGGACTGAAGGGCAGTGTCCGCCAGGCCACCCTGGGCAGGTCTTATAGCTTTGGGTCTTCCTCTCCAAGACCCCAGTGCTGCCTCCTCTCAGCTATGTCTGCTGCGGCATTCCAGCCTCCCCACAGCAGGTGGGAGCTAAGCAGGGGACAGGAATCAATGCCAAAGAAGGAGCTGGCTGCCCAGGCAGAGCAGAGGCAGCCCCAGAGGTCAACACTACCCTTTGCAGGGGGCACGGCTGGTCAAGGCAAGAGCTGACCCTGCAGCTGTCAGCACTGGCCAAAAATGGAGAAGGAATGGGAGATCTGTGCTGGCCCTTTCTGAATATAGCTCCACTGGCAGCTATTTTGAGACTGGGAAGACAGAGGAAATTTTATCAGCTCTGAGACAGGGGCCTGGGGCTGAGCAGGGCCACTGTGAGGCTTCCTGGGGCTCAGGGGCCCCTGGCTTTGGCCTGGATCCCCAGGGCCTTGGCCAAAGGATGAGAAGGGCCAGGCCCCCCCAGTCAGAGCCCACAGTGGTCAGACCTGAGAAGCTGCCAGAGGTTGGGGCAAGGACAGTTCCATACCGCCTCCCCGCTCAGGCTATAGACACTGCCAGGATCTGCTGGGGCAAGGAATTTGTGCTTAAAGAGATGTAATGCAGGCAATGCCTCCCCCAAGGAGAGGGTGCTGTTCCAGAGGCTCACTCAGAGGAGAGTGCTGGTGGGGGCCCTCTTGTATCCAAGATGGGCTTCGCTGGCTGGGTGCTTCCCTTCAGTAAGCCTTGGACCCCCACTTCTGAGCCTCCTTACCCCTCTGTCTGCCTTGTCGCCCTCGTCCAGCCGAGCTGCACTGGGGACTGACAGACTCCCTGCCCCTGTGCCCCGGGAGGAGTGGCCACAGCTGCCTGCCCCTGCTCTGAGAGGGAGGGCAGGTCCCCTGGGCTATGAGTAACCCCACCTCACATATGCCCCAGCACCACTGCAACTCCTGCTCAGGGCGCAGGACTCCCAGAGCCCCCTGTTAAACCAGGGTATAAGTCCAGAGCTGCTGTCAGGCCAGGCGGTACCTGGGCCGTTGGCAGCAGCAGCTGACCTGCTTCTCTCCCAGTCTGCAGCCACGTGCATGAGTGCCCTTAAAGTTGGACCAGAACACCCTTCTTCCTAGCAAAGCTTTGGGTACCTGGGACCTACTGAGGGAAACGCTGCTGTAGGCATCTCTGACCCAACCGAGCTCTTCCCTCCTCTGCACTGTCCTCACCCAGGGCCAGTCTGGGCCGGCCCTGCCTCCACAGTGGCTCCTGGCAGGAGCCTCACTCTGATAGCCCTGTCTTCTCTGCTCTCTCTCTCCTCCCCAGGTGATAGCCAACTCTCCAGCCAAGTTAGTATCGGAGGACAGCATGTGTGTGCTCTTGCGTGCATATCCCAGCATGCGTCCGTGCCTGGCGCTCTGACAGCGTGTGCCGGGGTCAGCATGTGTACGCGTGTGTGCATGCGTGAGAGGGGTGCATCTGTCCCTGTGAGCCTGCACGTGTGGGGAGCTGCGCGTATGGAGTGCAGGCGTTGGGGAAGGGTGCGAGGGCTCCGTCTGGTACCCCGGCCGTTCCTTTGTTCTCAATCTCCAGTTGCCTAAGGCCCCAGGCTGCTCTGGGAGGCGGTGGGTGGAGTGCCGCACTGACGCTGGGTTCTTTGTGAGCCTGAAGACATCTTTGTCCTGGTGGACCCCACAGAAGGGCTGCCCCTGACCTTGTCTTTGCCTGGGGAGCACAACTGCCTGAGGGAAAGCCCTGATGGGTAGAGACTGGTGGGCCACACAGCAAGTACGACATGCGGGGCGAGCCAGCCCTGCTCTGAGGAAGAAGCCTGTGCCCTGAAGCATCCAGAGGAGCAGAGACCCTGGCCACTGAGGGGTGGCGGCAGGAGGAGTCCCTCCGCAGAGGAACAGAGCTCACACTCTCCACAGTTGCCCCGTGGGGCTGTTTTTCGCCTTTTTGGCCGTCCTGGACTCCGCTTGGGCTGCCGCTGCCTGATCCCCGAGACCCAGCTCCTGTGCCCTGCTCCCAACTCCCACTCCCCAGCCCGGTTTTGTCTCTGCTTCCCCGCTGGTGTGGTGAGAGAGCTTCCGACGCCTGGCGCCCCCTGCTGACCCTGGGCTGTAGCTCAGGCTGAGCCGGGGGACCTCCAGGGATCTGGGAAAGCCCAGATGGGCAAGAAAATCCTTCTGCAGAGGGTTTTGGGGAGGGTGCCAAGGTTTTTCCCAACCACACCCACCCACAGTCTGCGTACTTGGGCCAACTTTCTGGGATCAGACTTTGGAGGTCTCTCTGGACAGCCTCCACAGCCAGCCCTTACCTGGGCCTCCCATGTAACACCACCTGTTGCCTTTTTCTCCCTCCACCTCCCTCCCACCCCCCTCTGC